TCAAATCTGAGTTTTAATGCACTTGCATATGACTATGGACAAATTAATCTCTTTAATATAATGTTTTCATCTGTTAATGAGGGGTGAGAGATAACTATAACCTCACTGGATTGTTGTGAGGATTAAATAAGGCAATACATGAAAAGTATCTGGCACATGGTATGTGCTCAAAAACAGTTACTTTACCTTCCCTTCTTGAAAACTTCCATGGACAGAGATTTTAGTTTCCCCTCAGAAACCTCTCCATGGGTATAGCTCTCCATAACTAAGAGGATCTTCCATAGGTCCCATTAAAGTTGCTCATATTTTGCTTTGTCTGCTTCCTGTTGCTCGGCACTCTGTGGGACAGAGAGAGCTCAGCAGCCTTTTTCAGAAAATTCCTCACACATTTGAAGAAAATATTTGACTTTTAGTCTAAAAACAACCAATCTTACCTTAAAGTTAGAAAAATGTTCTATAAGGAAGTTGAATGTGGAAGAGGCCTGAGTTACAGTGCAAGATAAAATGGCAAAAACCACCCAATCACCTTAGGGGCCCTATGGGTTGTTTTTCTTTTTTGGACATCTTGTATTGAATGTTTACTTTGTGCCAAGTACTGTGCTATTGGCTTCATACGCATTAAAATGTTTTAGGAACCCTGTGAGATAGCTATCATCATCACACTTTTCCTTCTCTGCATTTCTTAGATGAGGAAACTGAGGCTAAAAGTCACAGTTGGCAAGGTGGCAGAACCAGGGAATGAGCCTATGTCTGCCTCTGAACAAAACAGGGCTAAAAGTGGGTATGCTGGCCATCCTGAAGACAGAATGATCCACAGAATCTTTCTGGATATTAGGCTAGTTTCCTCCCTGGGACCAGAGCAACACCCTGTCACAACTCAGCTATGTCCTTGTCTAGAGAGGAAGCCCTGTTTTCACTTGAAGAAAGCCCTTATTCTGGGGCTGAGGGCAAAGCTTGTATTTGAATTATGAAAATGAACACTTACAAGTAAGGGCCAATGTAAAAAAGTCAGCAAGTGGTGAAGGGTAAACATATATACTAGAATAAACACAAGGACGATGCAGATTTCCAGAACTGTAATTGCTATATATGCGTCATCGGCTTGGGCGATAAAGAAACAAGTTAATGCTCCTATGATAAGACTCTGAAACAAAAGAAACAGGATTTGTTTTAATACACGTGGCTATTTAAAAAACCCCCATAAATTGTCAGAATGTAAATTTGATTATATAGCAGTGCAGGGACCTATACTATTTTGCACATACATTAAAAATTTTTTTTTTCATTAAAAAAATGAAATAAGCCAGGCTCAGTGGCTCAGCCTGTAATCCCACGCTTTGGGAGGTGAGGTGAGTGGATTGTTTGAGCCCACGGGTTTGAGATCCGCCTGAGCAACTTGGCGAGACCTCATCTCTACAATAAA